GCCTTTCTCACATTGGCTAATGTTAATGTTTATGAGTCCATCATCAGGAGAACACTGAACAACCACGGTGTTCATGGCAGAGTCGCAAGAAGAAAGCCACTGCTCTCCAAAAAGAACATTGTTGCCCATCTGCAGTTTGCTAAAGATCATGTGGACAAGCCAGAGCAATACTGGAGAAATGTTTTGTGGATGGGTGAATAGAGCAGCGTTATGTTTGGAGAAAGAAAACACTGCAATCCAGCATAAGAACCTTGTCCCATCTGTGAAACATGGTGGTGGTAGAGTATCATGGTTTGGGCCTGTTTTGCTGCATCTGGTCCAGGATGGCTTGCCATCATTGATGGAACAATGAATTCTGAATTATACCAGCAAATCCTGAAGGAAAATGTCAGGACATCTGTCCGAGAAATGAATCTCAAGAGAAAGTGGGTCATGCAGCAAGACAACGTCTCCAAGCACACAAGTCGTTCTACCAAAGAATGGTTAAAGAAGAACAAAGTTAATGTTTTGGAATAGCCAAGTCAAATTCCGGACCTTAATCCAATTGAAATTGTGTGGAAGGATCTGAAGCAAGCAGTTCATAGGAGGAAACCCACTACCATCACAGAGTTGAAGTGGTTCTGTACTGAGGAATGGGCTAAAATTCCTGCAAGCCGTTGTGCAGGACTGATCAGCAGTTACAAGAAACCTTACTTGCAGTTATTGCTGCAAAAGGGGGTCACACCATACTGAAAGCAAAGATTCACATACTTTTGCCACTCACAAATATTTAACACCGGATCATTTTTCTCAATAAATAAATGACAAAGTATATATTTTTGTCTCCTGTTTGATTGGATTCACTTTGTGTACTTTCAGGATTTGTGTGAAAATCTAATTATGTTTTGGGTCATATTTATGCAGAAATATAGCAAATTCTAAAGGGTTCACAAACTTTCAAGCAGCACTGTATAAATGTTATGAATTATAGTATTTATTTCTAAATTTTGAATGGGCTCTTATTTTTAATATTTTCATTTGTCTTTTTTTTTGTTTTACACTCATTTTTAGTCATTTTGCTATGTGCTTTTATCATTTTTTTTATTTTATATTTTAGTAATTTTAGTACTTAATTTAGTACATAGTAGTACATTTCATAGCTTTCTTGGCAAGTTAAGATTGCCATTTATTTCCCATCGCCTCTAATATGGTACTTTTTAAAACAATGCAGATGGTCAGGGTGACCTTATTCTCAGCCTCCTTGTCTCCTTTTTCACATTCCCCTGTGTTAAGCATTGCCTGCACAACTGCCTAATGGCTTTAGCAGTTCATTTAATTACATATTCTGGCTTTATGCGGCAAATATGATGGATTGAGAGTTGGTCAGAAGAAATCATAAGCAGAGCTCCAGACTTTTGATTTCTGCATTGAAGACCATACGCATGTAGAGAGGGAACATTTTTGGGGTGTTCCTGTGAGCATTTGACTTGGCAGACTGAAGTATGTAAATGCTATACGTCAAGTCTGTTTATAATTTGCTTTGATGGGGAAAAAAACTTGCTCTATTCTTTTTCTATTCTATCTGTTATCTTTTTATTATATAACTAAAAAAACAACAACAAAAACCCTTGCTACGTAACCCTTGTAACTTTTATGTTAATGATCGTATTGAACTTGAGCATTTAGCTGTATGGATCTGATTTGTTTGAGTCTCACCCTGAAACTTATTTTTTATCAGTCATACTCATAACAATCATATATAACCTTGAAATCCCATCGTGTTATTCCAATTGTATGTTTATTGAATGAACTGAGTGAATGAGTTATTTTTAATGTGCAGGTGATTCACTGACCTTATGTCTAACCACAAAAGACATTCAAGTGCAAGATTTTATGTCTTTCTTTGACCATTACTAAATGCTTTATTTTCCATGCCCCTCTCTAATTTAATGGCATCTTCACATTGTAAGCAAACGGACAGGAATGTTGTTGTTTTTTTTGTTCCCTTTCCCTAAAACATTTCCAAGAGACTGAATGCCTCCAAAATTTTACAACAAGCCCTACATAGTCATTTGGAAAACATCCCGCCAAAAAGCAGTTAATAATGAAGCTGCCTTTGTTCTTGTGCCAACTGCAGTGTTGATCTGCTTTTACATGCATGTGAAGGACAAAGCAGTGAAGCTCAAACATTGTAATCTCCTTTTCGGATCAGATACACGGAGCTCGGTGTGAATTGCTGTTAATGTTTAATGTCTGTTGATTTATTGTACTGTAACTGTTGTAGACCTGCAGTGGCCAACAATAAGTGTAAAATCTTAATGGAACTTTGCCTTTCTGCCTTTCACATGTGTGTGTGTGTTTTTATTGCTGTGGTTGCATAACTTTTTATTAGTGTTTTTTTACTATTATTGTTATCATCATCATCATCATCACTGACAGAAAATAAAGTGTATTTTTGCTAACTAATGGACCGGTCGACGTTATGGTTTAGAAAATGAAAACAGTCTATATAAATTAGACATTAAGTCTAACTTACCTGTAATACTGTATATAATAATCATGCTGGTTGTTTGAGTTCTATGTATATTCATTAATTGTGCGTGTGTCTTTGTTAGCACGGACAGGGGAGCTGATGGGAGAGTTTGGTCGGCTATATGAACAGCAGTATGCGGTCGCTCTCTTTAACAAGATGCGCTATGACATTGAGGGTGGAGGAGGCCCTCAGAATCAGCTCCTGCACAGGAAGGTAAAGTACTTTTCTTTTCCTCTTTTTCAGCTCTGCTTGTCTTTTTTTAACGGTGCATGTGAAACAAATGAAATCAGGGTCATTTCATTTCTCATGGGACTGATGGTCTGTGATGTCAGACGGCAGATTAGATTTGGGGATAATTGCTATGTTTGAACACATGTAGATTTGTTTATTTGAAATATGTAGTATTATCACAGTATGACCCTTTAAAGATGAGCAGTTTGTACACTTTTCATTCGTCCGTGGGGGGGGTGTGTGTGTCTGTAGACAGAGACACTGGGTGGGCAAAGTAAACACAAATTAAGCACTTCCAGTCCTAACATCTGTCTATATAATAACATCTGTCTATATAATGTATAATTAGGTACTGGGTCCTTACTGAAAATAGAGGGACAACTGTCTCTCTCTCTCTCTCTCTCTATCTCTATCTCTATCTCTATCTCTCTCTCTATCTCTATCTCTCTCTCTCTATCTCTCTCTCTCTCTCTCTCTCTGCTTAAACCGGACTTTATTTGAACCACCCTTCAATTCTTGTGTTTCTTAGATGCCGCTTAAGAATAAGTCCATCTTCTCAGGGGCTTTGTTCCAGTATCTAGAAGAGAACAAAAAATGGAGGAATCGTTTTCTCTTTATTCCTGACTCCTACAACATCAACTATTATGAAAACAAACAGGTAATGAGTGTATTAAAATAAAATTATCTTTCGCTTTTCAGTAGTAGTAGACTAATACATCAGCCAAGCTAATCTGTTAATCTTAAACTTTTTGGTTTAATCTTAAACTTTTTTAAAGGCACCATGAACAGTTTGATGATTCCAGAAGTTTAAATAAATAAATGCATTTATTTAATTATTTTTAAAATATATTTTTATTTGTTTAGTCATTCATTCATTTGAAATAATACTGCTTTCTTTATACTCTTATCTGTTTCTAATTTAGGCCCATGACAGAGGGCTGCATCCTAAAGGCACCATTAACTGTGCTGGCTACAGGGTCCTGACCTCTATGGAGGAATATCTCGAACTCCTTAACACCAGCCTACCAGGTCAGTCTAAAGGAGTGAGAGGAAAATGAAAAAGAAAGATGGGAAAACCTCAGGGAGGAAGCAAATTCTTAAAATTTTTTCCCAAAGTAAAGTTAAACTCTCTAAAACTAAGCAAAAGTTACTGGCTTACCGGTTTTACTGAGGTCATGTCATCATGGCAGCAAAGTTGAAATAATAGATGACTTTACAGTTAAAGGGTTAGTTCACCCAAAAATGAAAATTAGCTTGTGTTTTACTTACCCTCGAAGCATCCTAGGTGTATATGACTTTCTTCTTTCAGACGAATCCAGTCGGAGTTATATTAAATTGTCCTGGCTATTCAAAGCTCTATCATTGCAGTCAGCGGGTGTTGCAGTTGAACAGTCCACAAGTCGTCAAATAAAGCTCGCGCATTCATAATCAACGTGCCGCAGACGGCTCCGGGGGATGAATAAAGGCCCCCTGTAGCGAATCCATACGTTTTTGTAAGAAAAATATCCGTATTTCAAACGTAATAAACACTTTTCTCTCACTTCCGTTATCTGTCATACGCAGAAGCCGTTCCGGCAACGCCGCGCGTCTTGCGTCATCAGCCGGAACTGCTTTAGTGTATGACAGTCAGCGGAAGTGAGAGAAAAGTGTTTATTACATTTGAAATATGGATATTTGTCTTACAAAAATGCATGGATTCACTACAGGAGGCCTTTATTCACCCCCCCGGAGCGGTGTGAGGCACATTTATTATGAATGCGTGTGCTTTATTTGACGACTTGTGGACTGTAGGATGCTTTGAGGGTAAGTAAAACAAGCTAATTTTAATTTTTGGGTGAACTAACCCTTTAAGGTCAGTAAACAATTCAATCACACAAGACTTATGTGAACAACATGTATGATCATGTGTAAGTCATGTGGTTATGACTAGGGATGCACCGATACCGATACTGGTATCGGTATCGGGCCTGATATTGAGCTCCTGTACTCGTACTCGTTAAAATGCCCCGATACCAAACGCCGATACCACTAGGGCTGTCGCGGTGAGGGAATTTCCCTTGCGGTAATTTTGAGTGGCTCAATAGCGCGGTATGCGGTATTACCGCCATATATATATATATAATTTGTGTGTGTATGTGTTCCGATATAGCTAACGAGGTCATATTCAGAAGACAATGAAACCGAAACCAAATAGCATTGAAACAGGAAGTAAACAGAGGAGAATGACAAAATAACGGTCCACATAACAGAACATAAGCCTGACAATAAGATCGTTATGCTATCGTTAGTCTATATGCATAACAGTTAGCCTAGTTGTAATCTGATTTTCTAATCTGACTGGACAAGAGACTTTCTAATTATATTTCCACCTGCGCGCGTTCTAGACGGGCTGTCAAGTCAGTGCAGTTACAGTGTTGCGCCACAAGGTGGTGGAACGTGACTGTCATTCAACTACACGTTCAAAAACGCTGATTCATTCTATCAAAGAGACGTAATGAAACACGCTGTTGAAATCATTTTAACTTTGAGCGCCACTTTAATCGGGCAAGTACTGGAAAAAGTGGTATCGGTGCATCCCTAGTTATGACATTTAAAACCATATGTATTTATTACCTGTGCCTTGCTATAACTAAAAACATTTTTTGTATTGAACTTGCAGCCTTTGAAATAAATGTAGAGTAGAGTTGAGCCAGAGTCTAGATAAGAAATGATGAAATGGAGTGTAAAGTAATGGGCTGTGATCTTTGTATGTTGTGCAGCTCTAGTCATGATGACAATGGAGATCTTCTCATAAGGCCACTTTTAATAGAATATTGAATCATGCAACATGCATTTTGCAGGTGTAAAAGCTAAAGTTGGCAGTTCTCCATTCCTGAAATGTGCGACGCAGTTTCCCCTCATTCTCTGGCATCCTTATGCTCGTCACTATTATTTCTGCATGGTGACGGAGAAGGAGCAGCAAAAGTGGAACGCTCTCTTTCAAGACTGCGTCCGGCACACCAACAATGGTGAGTCTTAACCCTGCTCTTAAAAATAGCCGTCCTAGTGTCCACTTTCCCCTCTGTCTCTTTAATACCCAGACACACATTTCTGACTCATTACTTCAGGTAATCGGCTTTCATTATGGTTATTGCTGTTCATGAGGATAAGCCGGTTTCAGACTTGCTAGAATAACTGATGTGTTATTTCATAAATCAGCTCTTTTGGACATCACTTTATCAAAAAGGAAACTCGAGTGGAACGCTTGGCACGGTTGATGATGGTATTCATTTGGCTTGTTTGATAATAGAAAGAATGTTACCGCTCAAGGCTGTAAAAAGAGTCGGATGAGATCATGTGGAAAACTGGAGATGTGCTGTTATTCATTCTCTGTGTGTGTGCTGTATGACTGTTTATTTTGTAGAGCTTCTGTAACTTTATATAATTTGCAGAAATTATAGCATTTCACTATAAATGTCACTTTCTGTGTTTTGTATGTGCCAATTAAAAAAATGTGATTTGAGCAGACATTTTATTTGTTGCATTAGTCTAGTCAAAGTTGATTTCCAGGCTAGACATATATGTATTTTGCAAAAAAAACCCGTATATTTTCTTGACGATATGCTTCGATTTAAGTTTACAGATCTTAGGCAAGTATTTGCTCATGTACATAATATAGTTACACTGTGCCTAGGGCTATCAGAAAGTTCATTGTTACTGTGAGAGTTTTGTTCTTTCACAGTGATGTCACTGTTAGATTACTTGATATGTTGTTTGTCAGGACACTCAAACAAGAGGATATTTGTCTGTTGAAGCGTATGTTAAGATTGTCCCAACTTATTATGGTTATGTCACCTGCTTGGTGGGCCCTTCATATGATTTTGCTTGATACTAAACACTCTTGAAAAATATCCTGTTAAATGTATGGTAAAAAAATGGCAGCTGTGAGTATTAGAAATTAACCAAATAAATAAATAAATAGACGCAACACTGTGCCAAATTTTTCACTATTGTGGGATGGCATTGGTACCTATATATTACAACTTGTAACCATTCATTTATTTAAGTGATCTTAATATACCAAGCTACTTGAACTACTAAAATCAGCTTTTTATCTTTCAAACGTACCAATAACCACCATGATAATACAAGTGGTACAAAGCCTCGTGATGAAAAGGCGTCGTAAATGGCCTGTCCATAAAACATGACCAAAGTTTACATTGGCCACCATCAGGGTGTAACACACATGACACTAAAATAATGCAATAAACATAACTAAAAAATGGAAAATGTAGCACAAAACACTGTAATGTACATTACTAATAACAAAAATAAGAAACAATTATTTATACAAAATATAATCATATGTGATGTCATAAAGGAACTTCTGGAAATGTCAATTCACTGTTTTCACCGTAAAAAAAGGAAAAAGGTAATTAATAGTTTTACTTCCACAGACGATAAATTAAACAGTAGTTTACAGTAAAAGTACATGTAATGGGTTTGTTAAACCATTTAGATTTTTTCGCTGAACATGGTTAAGTAACTTAGTTTGCTAGTTTTTACAGTCTTTTTCTGTAAAAATTAAAAACTTTTTTTTTGCAGTGTAGGGTGGTTTTCAAAGGAAGCGTTGTTGAGGGGGTCCCACTATGGCCTTTTAAGGTATATAGCCTACTCAATGGGCATGTGAGAGAGAAGTCTGATGGTATTGACACTATTTGATGTGATAGAAATTCAGTCTAATTATACTTAAGGTATTCTAGTTGTTGGGTGTGAGGTACTCTATGTCTCATAGACGTCTTATGATGGCTTCTATGGCTGCTAGAACTGTTTTCTCTCCGCTGTAGTCCAGATTCCAGAGTGGTCACAGCTGGGGCTGTCAACCCATAATTCAATTTGGATGGGAGGCTGCTGAGAGGGAATGCACACTTGCGGCGAGGACAGTAATGTCCCCTTGGGTATTAAGGCGGCCATCTAAAAGCGTGTGTGTGTTATAGTTAGCCAAATCCCTGCTGCGTGTAGTATGTTCTGAATGCAAGCACATCTGCAGAGACTTTTTCCCCAAATAAGGGATGGTTCAGTTCTGGTTAAGTTCTTTGCTATTCATTAGTCTGTTTAAGATGTTCCCTGACATATTTAAAATATGTTAGACTGTCATTTTCTATTCTCGCTGTTTTGAAGGTTAGCTGTTAATGGAGACTGCGCTTCTAGAGAGGTGACGGTGCCTATCTTGACAATATAATAATGAGGAATCTGTTTTTTTTTTCTCTCTCTCTCTCTGTTTGTCACAGACACTAATAGGAGTGGATAAGTGTTTTTCTTCTTTGGCTTAAAATGAAGCATGCAGTAAACCGTAGTGCTTAATTTCTGGAATTTATCTGCTTTTAACAGCAGAGCAAACACTCTTTGTAGTATTATGTAACTTTTGTCTGATTCATCGGTTGAAAAGATGTTGTTTTTTGTGATTATGTACCTGGTCACCATGGCAGTTTAAGGCAAACCCTGCAGAAGGAGTGTAGGTTTGAGTGATTCGTAATCATAATTTGACCACTGATATAATTGCCCTTCCCTTTTACTGTCCTGGTACAGCGTCATTATTTGTGAGCTTGTGGATGACATGGTTTCCTGCAACACTTTGAACATTGCTGCTGTTAAATCTACTTTGCCACACCAAAAATAATCTTATTTAATGTGAGTTGTGTATGTGAGTTTGCAGTTCAAATTAAATGTGACAAGATGATAAGAAATGTCTTTTTACTGAGTTTATAAAAACAAAATGTAGTTAAGAAGACTAATGTCTCTTTCTTTATTTGATATTAGATGACTCTAACAGAAGTCCTTTATTTCATATGGTACTGTGAATTTATTTGTCACAACATCTGCTGAGAATTAAAGCATCTAAACTGAAAACATGAGCCAGACACATGTCTTCGATATGGTTGTGTCAGAACTTTGTTGGTTCAAATTGCACTTCTGCATAAAGGGCTAAATGTGATGTGTGACTTAATATAATAAATTGCTTAAAACAGCTCATCTGTGTCCTAAAATGTGTCAGGACACTAGGATCCAGGAACATGCAGTGATCCAATAGGATGGTGTTATTCTGTGACTGGATGCCCAGAGGAGTAAACCCAAGAGTGCATGAACAGTTAAATCAGGACTGGATCCTGACAAGTCGCAGCATGTTTTTGGAAGTGCATCATTTACATGTACAATGTTTAAGATCACTTAATCATAAGGCTGTTCGAGCAACCAATGCATTTCTACTGTAGTATACTAGACTTTCTTTGCTGTAAGTATCCTGGCTTGTTGAGTTCTGTAGCCCCGTGCTGTCATGAGCAATAATGGTGGCCCAGTGAAGTCTGGAATGCAACAGCAATTCATTTAACCATGGTATCCATGTTTTGTTTGTCTGATCTTCCCTATGTGACTTTTGGCTTGGGTGAGAGAGGCTTTAAAGGAATAGTTCACCCTAAAATTTACTTAACCTCAGGCTGTCCAAAATGTAGATGAGCTTGTTTCTTCATCGAAACAGATATGGAGAAATTTGGGACTATATCACTTGTTCATCATTGGATCCTCTAGACCTCTGCAGTGAATGGGTGCCCTCAGAATGAGTGCTGATTAAAACTTGATTGTTATAATCAACTTTGATTTTAACTTCAAACCATTGCTTCTGACTAAAATACATCCATAATATTGCTTTCTCTATTGAAAAAGTTGTCTCATCTGAAATAGCCACAGATCGAGCACCAAAAGAGTTTTGAACAAATATGTCTGTGGATTTGGATGTGAGAGCACAACAGGGGAGGGACTTTTTTACTGGAGGAAGTGTTATTATGGATTATAGACTGGCCATAAGTGACGGCTTAAAGTTAAACTCCTTAATGATGGATTTGTTTCTTACAAACGCACAGCTTTTCACTTCACAAAGACGTTAATTGATTGACTGAAGTCATGTGGATTATTGTGATGTTTTTATCAGCTGTTTGGACTCTCATTCTGATGGGACCCATTCACTGCAGATGAACTATTTATGAGCAAGTGATGTAATGCTAAATTTCTCCAAATCTGTTCGATGAAGAAGCAAAATAATTTACATTTTGGATTGCCTGAGGGTGGATACATTTTCAGCAAGTTTTCTTTTTTGGGTGAACTATTCTTTTAATGTCTAAAGAGGTGCAAAACAGCTTCTGCGCAGGTCACAAATCTTACTTTGGTGAAAATTCTGTTATTTATGGTCATGAGATGGCCTACACAAAGTTGCTAGACTGTTTTTCAAGTCCCACAGAGTTTTATGATGTGTATGGCTCATGTCAGTATTGGGAGAACGTTTTATTAGGCAACTGAACAGGTTTACAGGCATGTTAATGAATTAAGTCCAGGTGGTTTAAAACCTCTCCAGTGTCCAGACACAAAGTTGCTCTTTGAAAGCCTATTGAATGTCATTGTAAAGGCCTGAGATTGACAACCTGACAGAAACTACACAAATATGTAGAAATAGTCAGAATAATTTGAATTCCTGTACACTTAAAAACAAGTATTTGTTACATAGTTACATTATGACTGAAAGGGATAAAAATGTGAAACCTCAAAACTTAGCCCTGGTGTTATCTGACCATGTCTCATGTTGTGCAAGGTATTTATCCGCTCATTGGTGTCATAGGGTTGTTAGGGCATGGTGTGAAGTGAGGATTTTTTTTTTCTTCACCGAAGATCCACATTTTTCTCTCATTGTACTTTGATCATCTGGTGTTTTTGAACTGACTTGAGATCAGTTGTTTTTACGTGCCAGAATAAGCGACCCGTTAAGCTTGTTCTCTAGTTTTTGCATAACCGTTCTCGGGCTCTCCCCAGATGTTCATAAATATGTTCATAAATTATTTTTTGTTTTGTTTTTTTTCTATTCTATTGTATTCTATTCTGTCAGAATAAGTGACCCATAACACTTGTTGTCTTGTTTTTGTGTAACACCTCTCCAGTTCTTCCCATGTATTCATGAATATATTTACTATGTGCATTTATTTTATTATTTTACTTTACTTTTACTTTATTTGACTATGCCAGAATGAACGACCCATAACTCTTGTTTTCTCCTAACAATCTCTGGTTCTCTCCGCACGTGTTCATAAATACGCTTGCACTCACAAAAGCGTCAAGCTGTGCTGATGTGGAGTGCTGGACTTCCTGCTTGTTCTCCTCCAGCCCCCCACACCCAGCCTGCTTGAACTTCCTCTCTTTGTGAGGGTTCAGGCACTCATGCGTGCATACTGTATGTACAGGAGGTTTTTACAATATGTGGGCTTTTAGAATGTCATCATAACTGACATACAGATGTGAAGCAGATTGTCAGAGTACTGAACTCGAGACAACTTGTCTTCAAATTGTGTTAGATTCAGCTAGATCATTCCGCTATGACCCTATGAATGTAACTATGGCATTGTATAGGGAATTACCATGGTAACTGATGAGGCAATGCTTCCTGTTTGCCACGGTGACCAAAACAGATTGAAGTCTGTCTTTTGGTTTGATGGAATAATCTGATTGTGAGACGTGCCTGTGGGTGTATATATAAAGATGACCCCTCTTTCTTTTTTTGTCACTCGGTCTTTTCACTTCTCTAAATGGAAAGGAACTGTGTCATGCTATTATGACATTAGAAATTAATATCTAATTGTGTTTGTTTCTTGATTATTTGTTAAAAATAAAGTTTTGTTACTTGCTTGCATATGTTGAATATAATGATGATGATAAAGTCCTGTTCTCTTGCTCAGGACTGCCTGAGGAATGTAAAGTTCAGACCCCCGCGTTCACAGATGCAGTGCGACTCTATCGGCAGACCCATGGTCACTATGGAACCTGGGACATGATGTGTGGGATGCCTCCACAGGTAAAACACACACATATACTTTTATGTATCTTGGGCAGCTCTTGCTAGATTCTTTTTTGTCTAGAATAGGAGTTCTCAACCTGGTTCTTTTTATGGGGTTCTTAAAGGGGTCATATGATGCTGCTAAAAAGAACATTATTTTGTGTATTTGGTGTAATGAAATGTGTTTATGCGGTTTAAGGTTAAAAAAACACATTATTTTCCACATCTCAGAAGTGAGTGAACGCTCTCTGTGATTGATTAGTTCTGTCTTGCAACATTTGCGTGTCCAGATGATCAGGAAAATAGTTCTATCCTACACAATTACTCGCTAACAAAGGTTATTCGTCCAATTCAATGCATATTGTACGCATTATTATTATTATTATTATTTTTTTGTTAAATAAACAAAACCACTGGTAAATAAAGCGCACCTTAGTATCGATATTTTTTGTTTGAGTATCGTTACTTTCGATACTCGTGTCAGTATCGATATATCGATACTTCGGATCGATACGCCCATCCCTATGTGACGGAGTTACGCCCCTACTATACTGTGATGATGCCCTGTCCGGCCGGAGCGACGATTCAAAACATGAAACCCCATTATAAACAAGGCATTCGTTGCATCCAGTGGGGGCATAATTATGGATTATAATGACTTATACTGTCTTTTTACACGTTGCATCGCGCCGCGTAAACATAAAACCATGTCTGCATTTGTGATCGGAGAAATGACAAACAACAAGCCCTACTCTACACTGCTCAAACTCGCGTTTGAATCATCAGTGGCAAATCCTTTAAATATAAAAAACGTACTTACAGTCTGTGAGTCAGAACAGCCGGCATTGTAGTCTACTCTCCCAGGATCAGGAAACAGACCTCCATAAAATGTGCTGCACACATCTGAATATTTGGGTTGAAGTGTTCTGGAACAGTGTTGTAAATACAACTTAACCACTGATTTCTAGTCATGTCCTCTTTTGGAAGGCCAAACAACCATAATTGGCTTTCACAACGAAACACAGCGTCACACACGGCGGGCTAGAGTGAGCAGCGGCCTAGAGTGA